ACCACAACCTTCAGACTCAGAAGCAAGAGTGCAACCAACTGAGCCAAGCTGACATTATGTCATTATCTAAGTCAAAGTCCTTAATATATATGGAAAAACATACTGCTCCTTAATTTGAGACAAGGGCCTTTAATTTGTAAAAATTTAGCCATGCAAGTCTAAATAATATACAGTTACATTCGCAATCTCCTGGGCCGCTCCAAAGAACTGTGAATGCACATAGATTATTGTTGTATCATTAATTCTTCACGCATGTTTGTGAGCTCAGTTAATCTGGAAGGGAAGATCTATAGAAGCCAAAGACTATTTTTAAAACTTTTCATTACAAAACTATAAGTTGATTAAAATCACCAATTGTCAAACAGTAAATTTTAGACCCTACAGGTCTGAAATTTATTTGGTTGGTGGTTTCCCCACTTTATTTGCCAAGATGGACAGAAATAAATTGTGGATGCCTTGGCCAAAAAAAAAATTTTTTAGCAATTGGTATGGAGTATGGTATAGATCTAAATTGCAAGAAAAAAAAGAATGCAAGGGTTTTGTTGCCGTGTTCAAAGTTGATGATTTTAAACAACTTGCAGGTTTGTAAACCAAGATTCCAAAAATAGTTTCTGACCAGGAAGATGAAATGTCTTTATTTGCATTTGTATCTATAGTTCATGGGAGTTTTGCACTTAAGTAATCCTACAACTTGATCAAGATTTTTATTTCTTCACTTAGAAAAAAAGAGACAACCTAAAAATGAGATAACAACTGTTGTAAATCAGCAAATCTTTAAATATTTTATAGGAAATTCACCAGTTCAATCTGTTAAACAGGCACTTTAGAGCTGTCAGATAGAAGCAAAATGATCTGACTTCATAATTGATTGACTTCAAAACTTGTCATTTGTAGCATTTCTCTTTGAGTGATTGATGGTTACTCCTTCTCCCTGTACATCTCAACTTCAGTTAAGATTACAATAGAAAATCTAGTCCTTTGGGGGAGTAATTCAAGAAATAATACTTATGAAGTACTGCTGACAGAGTTTGCAAAAACTGTTTGTGAAACCGGAAAATAAAATCCAACATTTAAATAGAATCCATTTGTCTACCTGCGCCTCTGCCTGTGCCTCTACCAACTTCTTTGTCAGCACATATTGGATGGATGAATTTCAAGTGTCGCTGGACCTTGGATGGTCATATGGTTGATCTCAGTGAGACATTAAATGCATTTTGGGTTCCAGAACTAATTAAATAATATTTCAGATAATCGTCAGAATACTACAACTGTTAGCGTTTGAGTGAATTGACAGTTTCTTCCTAAGAAGCTGTACAATCTTACCGGTGTATTCTGCTGAGATTGGTTATGCATTGCCAATTCATTTTCAAACTATATATTCCAACAATCGTCTTGCTGCTGTACTCTAAAATGATGCATAATAATGTGCCAGTACTTAGCGCTACTTCCGGTACTCTAAAGCTTGGGCAATAAGCCAAGCTTTGACTGGAAATTGAATGCCTTTATTTGTCATGATTTAGCTGTCTAAGTACTTGCCAATGGGAGGGCAGTTGCTTTAACTTTATTTTATTACAAATCAATGTTGACTGCCAAGTTCAGTAATTCTTGTGCCATCATTAACAGAGCTTTGGTAATGAGTGGGTGGATAGCTAAAGCCTTCCTTTGCATGAGATGTCATTACAAACTTTAATAAACTTTTTTTCATTTTAGACTCCAATCTGTTCAATATCACAAATATACATTTTGTAATTACAAAATGTAATTACATTTTGATTTCAAGATCCTCATCCTCACCTACAAGGCCATTCACGGCCTTGCTCCCTCCTACCTCTCCAACCTACTATCCCCCTACCTACCTGCCCGTACTTTCCGTTGCTCTGGCTCAGGTCTGCTCCACGTCCCCCGCCCCAACCGCCCTACCATCGGTGGTCGGGCCTTCAGCCTCTCAGCCCCCAGGCTCTGGAACTCTATCCCCCAGTGCCTTCGCCTTGCTTCCTCCCTCTCCTCCTTCAAGGCCGGTCTCAAAACCTTTCTCTTTGACCGAGCCTTCAGCTCCCCTCTCGACTCTCTTCCCCCTCCTCGCTCCCTCCCTTCCCTCCCCTCACCCTGACCATTTCCCCCCTCCTCGCTCCCTCCCTTCCCTCCCCTCACCCTGACCATTCCCCCCTGCTCGGGTCATGACCCAACTGTGCAGCGCCTTGGGACGTCCTCCTGACGTGAAAGGCGCTTTATAAATGGAATCTTGTTGTTGTTGAATCTTGTTGTTGTAATTGTCCTTGGAGTATTTTTATATTGGAAAACATGCAGCTGATAAAATCCACGAAAAACTTATGGTCTGTAAACTGTCCTTTATTAATGTGTCTGTTATTTATTTTAAATCTTTCCACATATTCAGGTTTCTGAAATATTTTGATTATATTTGTTTTATCATTGTCTTTGGTTTTAAGATGCACTTACAAAACACTATGTGAATGCAGATTGTGATTTTGAACACAATCTGAATTGAGAAACCCATTTTTGAAAGGTGAAATATCTTCTGTTAGTTTCTGGAAAGTAGCAACGCAGAAGTCATGAGACTACTGATTACACAGCAGCCTTTGTGTAAAGTTATATCTTGGAGCACTTCACAGGGATGAGTTGGACGCTGAGCAAGGGGGAGGTTGATGGTGGTGGCCATAGGTGTGATCAAAGAGGTAGGATTTGAGGTCGGTCTTAAAAACAGAAAGGGGAGGGGGCAAGATTGTGTGGCAGACGGAAGGAATTCCACAGGTTAATGACGTAGGAACAAAAAGTGGCAGAAGGAATTTAATAATAATGATAATCCTTGCATTTAACACAACGCCTTATCGCATCTTCGGGATATCTCAAAGCGCTTCACAGAATATACTGTAAAGTGAATTGACTGTGTATTTTGTGGGTGAAACGCGGCAGCCAATTGCACACAGCAGTGTCCCACAAACAGTCTTGGATTGAGTAACTTTTTTTTGAAGGAATTATTACCCTGGGAAGAGCAATCCGCCAATCGACTGACAGCTGGTTTCCTACTTACAGCTCGGTAAACAGAAAGGACACTTGTAAAGAAGGAAACTTGCCCAATGTTTCGCCCTGCCGGGAATCAAATCCAGGTCTCTCGCTTGCGAGGCATGCACTCCAACCGCTGAGCTACATGACTCCATGTTGCATGCACGAGCTTTCTTAATGATCCATGAAAAGCAGACGCAGTAATAATATAAATAATAATAATCCTTACGTTTGGTATAGCACCTTTCACATCAGGAGGACAACCCAAAGCGATTCACAGGTTACATTGTAAGCGGAGTGACTGTTTTGTAGGCAAACATAGCTGACCACTTGCGTGCCACAGTGTCCCACAAACAACGTGAAGTGAATGACCAATTTTATTTGGGGGATTGTTAGCCAGGATACCGGGAAAAACTGCCTTTTCGAATAGTGCCATTGGATCTTTAACGACCACCTGTAAAGTCAGATTAGACCTTAGTTTAATGTTTCATCCAAAGGATGGCACCTTCAGCAATGCAGCACAACCCAAGCACTGCACTGGAATGCCAGCATTGGACTATTTGAGTTCCCAGCCTTGGCGTGGGGGTTGAACCCACAATCTCAGGGCAAGAGTGCTACCAACTGAGCCAGCCCGACACCAAAAATAATGGTGGTGATTACACTTGCACTATCCTTGTCTACAAATATAACGATTACAAATTACAACTTTGTGCTGCCACATTTCAAGCCACACTGCTCCAAGTGCTCGCTGCTATATTATTTTTAACCCCCGCTCCCAAATTAAAACTAAATAGAAGAATTTACTAAAATTATGCCTGATCTTATATTTTAAGACACAATGGTCTTACAGTCTAAGACTAGATTTTGGTGTCCCTGATGGTGGGCTGGGGGTGGGAATGGAGAACTGGATACATATATGTGTGATAGTTGGACTATATCTGATTTACTCACATTTGTACAGTGTAACAAAGAAAATGAAATGTAAACAGTTTATTTAGCCAGTTATTTCTAATCAGAACCCAGCAGAACTATCTCAAATCTAATTTTTGAAATACATTTTTTGGAAGTTGATTTTCATAATGTTTTATTATGAATTGTCAAATTGTATGGTACAATAAATTTTTGTTTTAACCATTCGGGGCATCATTCCCTTTCGTGTTTTAAAACTAGTTATGATACACTCTACATTAAGTTCATCTATAAATACAGATACTTCACAGTGAAATCTCTAAGATGTTATGACAGTATGACATGGCTCTCTTTCAAATGAAGTATTGTTATTATAAGTTACGAACTGGCTGTAAATTAAGTAACTGCCATATTGATTTTAACCGGTAACGTAGGCGGATTATTTGAAGAAGCAGTAAGCAAGTAATTTAGCAACAGCTGATTTTTCTTTCAGCGGCATGTAAAGCAATAAAGCATTTGTCACAAAAATTAGAACATTACTGTTGGAAATGGTATCACACTATAAGCTTTGCCAAGATTAAATCAGAATAATTCGCCCTGGAACAGAAAATGTGAAATATTGTGATGGTAGATGGTTGTCTATGGGCAAAGGAGGAAACAAAATTGTTTGAATTTGATAAAATTGAATCAATCACAGAAATAATAGTAATGGCCCTTATTGTCCTCACACATACATGGTAGTGCCTCATGCACGGTTATAGTTACACAAACACCTTTGGCTGTTGTCCTTCCAAGTAAATATTCAGGTGTGACCTTGCATAATACCACTGTTGGGTTATTCTACCAAGGGAGGCAATTACGTATAGGGATCTCACCCTAGTCTGATCTTTAAAAATGTAGATCTTTATAGCTAAATCTTTATAATGCAAAATCATATTATAAAAAATCCAAAATGGATCAGAAGGATTGAACCTCCATTAGATATCAGCTGAATGAAACCATAGACAAAGCAGTACAACCTTGAAATTTGATATTGGTCCTTTTTACAATCGTATGCTTGTCAATTTCAGGTCAGTTTCATGATCCCTTCAAACACAGCCATCAATGACCTCTTTGTTCTCAGACTTGTTTGGAACCCAGCCCATCAGTAAGTAGATTAATACAGTTATATATTTAAAGTACTGGTAAAGCTATTCATTTAAATCAAATAATTACATTTTGTTTATTTCAGAAAGGCTCAGGAAAGGAATCATGTAACTTTTGAGAAAACAAATTCAGAGAATTGCAGAAAATTCACCTTTAAAAGTATTTGTAGAATTTCATAGTAATGCAACAACAGCAATTTTATATCTATATAGCACCTTTCATGTCAGGGGGGCTTCTTAAAGTGTTTCACAGAATTGGATGGATTTGGCAATGCAAAATCGGCCCATTTGATATCATCTTATGTGGAATCCTGTAGTGTATTAGTTAGATCACTCGCCTCACAAACGAGAAGACCTGAGTCCAAAACCCGAGCAGGGCGAAGAGTAGGCAAGCTTCCTCACTCCACACACCACTGTTTACCTAGCAATAAGTAAGAACCCAGTTGTTAGCCGATTGTGGGCATAATAATCCCTTCAAAAATAAATAAAAAATGATAAATAATAATTTAGTCACTCAATGCAGATTGTTTGTGGGACACTGCTGTGCACAATTGACTGTGTGATTCTCCTCCCCCCCCACCACAAACTATATAGTTAATTCACTTTACAGTGTATTCTGTGAAGCACTTTATTATCTTCCCACAATACCCACCCTATCGTCCTCACATCATGGCATCGAGCTTTCTTAAAAGTGAGTCTTGTGTCGTGGCTTGAACCACTCGTCCTTGTAGCTAGGCTCTGCAAGCCTATCACCCTATCCTCGCTTGGCTCCATTGGCTCCCTATCCCCAGCAAGCAAGTTCAAGATCCTCATTCTCATCTTTAAAGCCCTCCATGGCTCGCCTCAACCTACTTTTCTGACCTCCTTCAACCCAGTTGCTCCCATCGCTAAGTGAGTACTGACCTGCGCCATTTGCCCCCACCGTCGGGCAAACCTTCAGCCATTCTGCCTCCGCTCTCTGGAATTCTATTCTGGAGTCCTTCTGACTCGCTCATTCCCTCCTCTTCTTCAAGACTCATTTGAAGGCACAATATGCATTACAATTCCATTTGTATAGCAACTTTCACATTGGGAGGATGTCTTAAAGTACTTGACAGAGCATATATGTTGATACGGTCAGCAAATAAGTTAACTAACCTTGGCAAATTGTATCTGTATAATTCTTATCTTTCTAGATTCAACCTACAATGACAATGGCAACGTATAGGCCTACTTGGGACCTAGCACTCGATCCCCTAATATCTTGTAAACTATGTCTTGGGGAATATCCTTTAGAGCAAATGACAACACTATCGCAATGCCAATGCATATTCTGTACACTGGTTAGTATGATTTTTTTTTACGTGTAACTCATTTTGTACAATCTGCATTTCTTGCTGTCTGTTTTAAACATGAAAATGTAAAAAAAACATATTTGTTCCAGCTATTATTTTCTATTCTTGCAACCAACCATAGTAGTTTTACTTTTTGCAGTTTAAAATAAGTTGAATTGCTGTCGTTAAATGTAAATACAATTGCTTCCTATCTCCGTCTATCTTGTGATTGTAGGGAATTGGTTTTCATGTAATTTGAGAATAACACTGTCCCTTTCAAACCAAGCAAATTTGAGCGAACAGGTGACGTGCAAGGCTATCTACTTTATTTTCGGTGGTTAGAATAATTTTCTGCACATTAATTTTCTGCACGTCTCTCTTGGATGCATCATACTGTCTGCCCTCCAGTACTTCATCCACGCAACGTCCCGGACAATGAGTGTCACAAGTTATTCAACATTGAGAAGAATATTCCAATGTAATCTCTCCATCCACACATATGCGCTTTAAACTGGGCAGTGATCAGGACTAAGTGAAAAGCTAGCTCAGAACAAAACTGGAATCAACCAGAGATAATAATCCTTGCATTTGATATAGTGCCTTATCACATTGTTGAGGCATCTCAAAGCGCTTCACAGCATATACTGTAAGGTGAATTGACTGTATTTTGTATGAGAAACGCCCAGTTATATCATACCCTTCACCTGGGGTACAGTCTCGGAGTGCTCTACTGATCAGGCTGTTCAACCGTTCCAGGCAGCTCCATCAATGCCTTCTGCATTGAACACAATGCCTCTTTATAGACATTGCAACAATCCCCTAAGGGCCTGTGACCCAGAGCTGCCACACTGAACTATTCCAGTGGAGCTGCTTTACTGGACAGATGCCCAATCTATTCTTTACAGTGGTTGTTTTTTTCATTGGGCTACTCAACTCCAGCCCAATCATGATGTGGAGGCTTGGAACAGTCTGTCATACAATCTGATATATTTTTAAAAAATACCTGAATGGTCTTTAATGTTAACTACTGCAATGCAGGCACTCAGTGCATTTACCCACTAAACAATCTAGGGGAGTGGGTTAATTTACATTCAGTATTTTTCAAATATCTTAATTTTGCATGGTGAGCCTCCACCTGGAGTTGGCATATGGAAAAATCAATCTCCCTTTTGTTTGAATCCTATTGATGGTCACTTCATTGGCTGGTCTAGCCTCTTATTGGGGTAAGGTTCCACTTACGGTGGTTTCCCTCTGTCCTCATGGACATTGTTGATGTGTGAGTGTTAGCAGCCCACTTGACTAGAGGGTATCACAGCTGCACCATCCTCATTCCACATGGCTACCTTGTGTGCACACAACCAATAGAGATGGCTCAAGAGAGATCAAGAGCCAGAATCATGTGATTTGCACCACCCTAACCCTGGGAAGTCTCCCCTGCATTTAGCCTCCCCCTGCAAGTCTATATTGCTACATAATATTGTGGCCAGTGAAATTAGCCAGACAACTAGGTTGTCTGTTGTTTAAAAGCATTCATAATTCACAGGCTAGAATTTCTTAATGTTTTGTCTGGTTTGCTAACAGTGTCTGAAGCAATATGTGGAACTGTTAATTAAAGAGGGCCTGGAAACTGCGGTAAGCTGCCCTGATGCTGCTTGTCCAAAGCTAGGACATCTGCAAGAAAATGAGGTATGGGCGATATGGTACACAGTATGTTATCTGCACTAATTTGGGACTGAGCCCATTGTGGTTATGAATAATTGATTTTGCAAAATACAAATTGTCTACAGTATTGACTAAAATCTTCTATCAGCAGTTATACTGTCAGTATGGTACCACACTCTTTCACTCAATACACCTTTACTCTCGAGTCTTTTTGAGAATATCAAAGTGACTAATATGTCGCTAGCTGTCCTGAAAAGGTCCTCCCAGGACACTGAAGGCAGATGTCTGCCAGATAGCTGATGAGGAAACTCTGAGGTTTGGGGCGACAGCTGCTGGAAGGCATTACCTAGACTCTGAGTTTGTGAATGTATTTATACATCCAGCACCTGGAATCCACCTTGATTGGCTTGCAGAGAGGTAAGCAGCCGCTGCTTAAGCTCTGCATCTCCAACCGGTAGAACCATCGCTCAATGGGAAGGGCCATGCGTTTGAGCTGTGGGCAGGAAGATGAGGCAAGACTCGCATGCATTTCAGCCTGAGTTTCATTGCCCAGTATGAGGCTCACCGGGAGTTCCTGGTCCTGCCATCCACCTAGTGAGGGCTCAAACCCGTGCTTGGCGGATGTCAAATGACCAACTAGTGACTATCCCCTGGGTGAGGGGGGAGATAAGCCAGGTCTCCTTGGAGCTGCACTGGCTTCAGGGTGACATATTTGGCAACAGAATGTCATAATCAAGACAGTCCTCTGTGGCAGTCTTGGTTGTCCAGTTCCTGAGCCAGGCGGGTCCGCAGAACTCCACGGCACTGCTGATGACAGCACATTGGCAGGACTTGGAAGGGCAGACCAATTACTGGGGCAGGGATGCTTCCATTAACCCTGCAAGCCAAAGACCTAATAAGGTGGTCCTAGCTGGACAAGTAGCAGGAAAGTTTGTCAGACAGCAATGTCAATGGCAATCTATGCAGTTTTAGCTGGTTGGGCTCCAAGCCTTAGCTCTTGCCAACCTTTCTGGATCATTATTGTTCGTGAAGTTTATGATTATAATCCCTTTAGTTTCTAGATGTAAGTTATATTGACCTATGTAAATATTTTTAATGACATGAGTTACTTCGAATGATGAATATTATATTCAATGATAACATAGGGCAAGTCATCAGTTTAATATTTGCTTTGCTTAATGCCATTTTACTGCTTGTCTTCCAATAGATTGAATGTGTAGTTGCAGTGGAACTTATGCAGAAATATAAAAGATTGCAATTTGAAAGAGGCAAGTAACTGCTGATATGAATAATTATTTAAACTTTTGAAAAATATATTGTGCAATGTGCTTTTAATTGTATTTTGTAATTCCTTGGTTAAACAAACAAAGTGTTTCATTTAAAATTAAGCTTGATTCATTTAAAATATAGTTTGATGCTATGATGGGAAGATAATTTGAAGGATAAGATCAAATGTGCCAAAGTGCCTACTTCATCCGAACCAATCTTGTGATTGTTCCCTTTTCATGCAAAATCCTATACGGTGTTGTACTTGTAATTAATCCAATTCTTGGTTCTGCACTTCTCATTTCATGTTGCATGTTCTTAATAGATGCCACCAATAACACTGCATTATTTCACTATGAGGAAAATAACTTTTCTTACAGATGTTCTGACTATATGGTTTCTTGCTTCCAGGCTATTTGGTTCTGCTCTACTTTCTTGACCAGTTTTTGCATTTGCTCTCTCTCACTATATATATACACACATATTTATAATAGGTGGATGGATGGATGGATGGATCATCAACAACAACAAGATTTCATTTATAGAGCGCCTTTCACGTCGGGAGGACGTCCCAAGGCGCTGGACAGTTGGGTCAGAACCCGAGCAGGAGGGAAATGGTCAGGGTGAGGGAAGGGAAGGAGCGAGGAGGGGGCAGAGAGTCGAGAGGGGAGCTGAAAAGGCACGGTCAAAGAGAAAGGTCTTGAGACCGGCCTTGAAGGAGGAAAGGGAGGAAGCAAGGCGAAGGCACTGGGGGATCGATGATAAAAATTGGTTATTGCATAAGGGAATCCTTTTCATTGGTTCTTAATGGCATAATTCTTTCTGTGGACGTGCATTTATACCTGATGGATAATAAACTCCAATGAATTATCTTGGATTTTGTTTTAACTGGAACTTTAACTGGGAACTTAGAAATGTATTGAATTTTTCAAAGAAGAAGTGGGCAAATCTTTGATTCAACAAAAAGTGAGAGCCTGCATAGCCTTTAAGTTTAAATCTAAACAATGAGTTTGTTGAACAACCTTTTCTCTTTGATTCTGATCTAATGTACTGATCCAATTGAAATGCAAGTAATAGAGGAAGAAGAAGTGCCATCTTCCTTATGAACATGATCAGCATTTGAAACTGATGTTCTTCAGCATTGCAGAATTTGCCAATGAGAGCCAGACCAGCTGATTTTGATGGTGTCTGACCTATTTAAGATTACGTTTCTGTACATCAGCAGCTTTACCTTTAAATGTTGCAGTGAAAGTAGAGGGTTGTCAATGTTGAATAAATGTCTGGCAGAATTTAAATTATTATAGGTGATGGAATTTTTAAAAATTCACATACCTGTAGAGACCCCTCATTCTTTATAATAATAATAATAATCCTTGCATTTGGTATATCGCTTTTCACGTCGGGAGGACGTCCCAAAGTGCTTCACAGAACACACTGTAAAGTGAATTGACTGTATATTTGTGGGCGAACGCGGCAGCCAATTGCGCACAGCAATGTCCCACAAACAGTCGTAGATTGAAAATGACCAATTTATTATTGTTTGTGGTTTGTAGGGATTATTATTAGGCGTGTGGAGTAAGGAAACTTGCCCAAGGTTTTGCCCTGCCTGGAATTGAACTCAGGTCTCTCGCTTGCAAAGCGAGTGCTCTAACCACTGAGCTACAGGACTCCACAATTATCAATAAGTGATGAGTTGTTGTGCAGAGAATGATTCATCAATTAACTTAACTTGTGTTACATGCATAGTAGATCTGGAACTCCATCCCACAGTCCCTTTGCCTCGCTTCCTCCCTTGCCTCCTTCAAGGCCGGTCTCAAGACCCTCCTCTTCGATCGTGCCTTTGGTTGCCTTCCCACCTCTCTGCCTTCCCTCACCCCTACCCCCATGCTCGGGACCTGACCCCTGACTGTCCAGCGCCTTGGGACGTCCGCCCGACGTGAAGGATGCTCTATAAATGTAGTTTTGCTGTTGTTGTAGATAGGTGAATTGTACCCAGTTACAATGTAAAATAGTTTGCTTAAAGTAATAATCTCCATGATCGTGACTTGTAAGAATATGACTTTTTTTAAAATTACTTGTGTGGTTAGATGAGATGTTTGTATTAATGTTGAATGCATTAAGTGGTGGAGGACCCATTTCTATTCACTGAGGGAACATAGCTGTAAATTGTTTCAGAACTGTCAATGGATGAGAAATGTAATCATTTTATTTTGGAAATATTCCAGAAATGTCTACAAATATTCACTTAATGACAATTACCTGTGAAACTCATTTAGATTTTTTTCAACATTGATATGTTCTGGATCAATAGCAAGGATTATTTAGGATTATTAATGAGTGAATAGTTTGGCGAGGATCACTCGGAAATGTCAATTGGATGTGGCAGCGAAATTCTTTCCAGTTATTCTTCTCACAATAGGATTAGGGGTACAAATAATTTATGTTGGAGATACTCCTTTAGTCCCCCATATTATTATTGACATTTTAAGAAGATCAAGTATTCTTTTTCGCTCCATCATCTTCTTGCCTTTGCCATTCTTAGTTATTCAAGATCTCTGCCAATTCTACTATTGAACAGGTCACTAGTCAAAAAAATGTTCAAGAATGGCATAGGTTGACCCACCTTCCATTTTTGCTTTGTTTTTCACAGGAGGGAGATGAAAGTGGTCTGAATGAGTCTTCCTCGTGAACCCATACAACAGGGCAAGGTAGAGGGACTAAATGACCTTTTCCCATTCCGATTTTTATGTTGTAATGTATTCAACCCTTCAGCAAAAGTATCTTAATCTCCAATTGACAGTCCCCTAGTTATCCTGACTCTGATCGTGAATTTATCGCGAGGACCAGTGTCCTACCACTATGTTTGGGCATGTTCTTGCACCATCTAATAGTCTAGATCTGAAATTCGGTGAAATGGCCCCTGAAGTTTGTTACCAATATTATCGGAGGAAGGGTTGAATTGTCAGTTGGGGGAGGTGTGGCATTGTCAGAAGTTTGGATGAGATGTTAAACTGAGATCCTGTCTCCTTGTCCAGATGCACGTTAAAGCCTTGAAAAGAGAAGGGAGGTTTCTCCCAGTATTTTGGCCAACAATTCCCCAGATAAAATGGGTCATTCACTATATGGCTGTTTGTGGGACAATGCCATGCGCAAATTGGCTGATGTATTCAGCTACAAAATACATAGTTACTACACTTTACATAAATCCCATCTAGTGCTTTGAGACATTCTTCTGAGGTAAAAATTGCTTTACCAAATGCAACAATTATTTATTTATAAAATTTATTATAGTTTGCTTTGAAATAAAACAGCAGTAGTTGACTTTTCAGTTAACCATTCACGTGCTTTTATATAGCAGTACATTATATTGAAACAGTCAGGTCCAATTATACAGTCACCATTCTAGCAAACAATTGGGAGGAATAATTCCAGCTGAAGCTCCTGCTAGCCGGGGAAGCCACTCAGCTAGCTTGAGTTCACAGTGGATCCTCCTGAAATATACTTTTGGTCAACTGTGTCTGACCTGTAGACCCACCTGACACAGGAACTGGATTACAAGAATGCCACAGAGATTGACTTGATTCTAACATTCTGTTATCCAATACACCAGTGGTAGTTGAATCAGATAGTATAGATGCATTCAAGAGGAATGACCTTCACACGAGAGAGAGGGGAGTAGAAAGTATGGTAGGGAGTAAGGAATGGGTGAAGACTTGTGTAGAGTATGAATACTGACACATTTGGGCCGAGTTGCCTGTTTCCGTGCTGTACATTCTTTATAAGATCAACTGTAAGGAGGCTGGCTTACCTCCTTCCCAAGGAGGACTTTGTGTTTTCTGAAAGACATAAAAAGGTTTATGCTGAGTCTAAGGAGGGATGACTGGTTAACTTCAATAAATGATTATTGGTAAAACACCCTGATTATCGTTGCATTTGAACGTTGACAAACAGTAAGATATGCAATTGTCCTGCCTTAGCTATTCAGAAAGTGGTAGGTTTGTCACATGATCGAAGTAGCTACTGATCTAAATTGTTGGCTGGAGTTCAAGTTGACGTGGTCCATTTTACACGTCAAATCTATTTTTATGGTAGTTCAAAGGGTGAATCGTTGTGCATTGAATCATACTAACCATGTGAGCAAGGACAATGGCATTAATGTTTGGGAAAAATCTGAAATAATTACAAAACAACTTTTAAATGAATATAATTCAGCTCAATTTACACCTGTCAGGTTTTGTTCTTCAATATTAGGTTATCTTAACCTAAATTCTGCTCTTACCATCCTCACATTGATTGGTTTATGATGTCTATTAAATATTTATCTCCCAGCAATTGGAAAAAACACAAGGTTAAACTTTAATCACTAAAACTCATTGCATCTTTGCATGTGAATTGGAACATTTTAAAGTTTGACTTTTTCTGGTTCTCTCATTACTGTTCTTTGATCTGACGTTTAATATACTTATAGGCTTTGACATACCACTCAATTTCCACTGAAAATAGTTGAAAGTTTAGAAAAAAAAGAGGAAATGTTAAATGAGGAGTTCACAACAGAGTATTTTTGATAGCTAGAGTTTACCATTATTTTAGTGATGCAGGTTCACTGCAATTCCTGAGACCCTCACAAAGGTCCTCAGATCCTCCAATATCCTATCCCTCTGGCCTCCAACCCACAGAGATCCTGAAGCAGCCGTCCATGATCGCCTCTCCTCCATCTTCAACTCTCTCGTCCCCCTGAAATCCAGGACCATCTCCAAACCCATCCGATCCCCCTGGTATAACAATCACCTCCGCTCCCTAAAATCCCAAACCTGGCTGCTCGAGTGCTGATGGCAGAAAACTGGCCTGACAATTCACCACCAACTGTGGCTCGAGCATCTCTACAGCTACAGCCATTCTTTGACACGTGCAAAAACGGCCTTCAACTCCATCTTGGAGGCAAAAAGCAATCCCAGAGTCCTTTTTTCCACCACCCACTACCTCCTCCGTGCCCCGCCTCAGG